TTGGTTTCCAGACACTTTTGGATACCCAAGATTGATCTAATTCGAGTGACATTATGATTGGAAAATAATATTAATGGATGGGGGATGCAATGGTAAGTATATCAGTACTTGATAAGCTATATAGCAATTAGTTATGGGGGATCTTGAATTAAAGAAAGCAAATCAAATAGCTTTTATAATTTTTGATTTTTATAATTAAAATTTATTTTTCAGAAGCAAGAGGTGCCGTGCCCCCACCCCCACAAAAAAAATCGTTCAATACAACTTCTCCGAGGTTAAACGGAATTAAACCGATTCACCGGAGATAGTCTCTACCCTCTCACAAAACACTCACCACGGAAGAATAGAACTTCATGGATATACATATATGATAACCACCAAGTGATACAAATTACAAATACATTATTAATTTAACTTATATCCCACCAAATTACATTACATACATACATAATAATTACAAAATAATTTTGTTTTTCTCATACAATAGCCCCCCATTTCGTGTCTTCCGGAGATGTTGACAATACTGTTGCCAAACTCTTATTACCATTACTAAAATCAGCTTTAAAATTCTCCGTGAATTTCCCAGCTGCCGTGGGCAGAGAACCTAAGTTCGGAATCATGTCTTCTTCTTCTTCTTCTTCAGCTTTGTTTTCCTTCGTTTGGAGTTTTATTCTATGATTGCTCTCCGCATCAGCATCCTGTTCTAGTTTTCTCTTTTTGCCATTAATCGAGTCATGTTGGTCTCCGTTTATGATCTCGGGTGGACTATTATCTTCCTTTTTAGATTCATGCATATTGTTGTTGTTGTCTTCAGCCAGTGAATTTCCATTTCTGCTTGAATCGTGGTCATTATTATTATCTTCATTCACAAATTCGTCATCATTAATCGGCGTCGAAGCATTTCGTTCCAAGAATTCCTGATCAGACCCAGGACCTATCTCATCCGTCTTAATCTCTTGTGTGTGAAGATGCTGGTTTGGGGTAGTAGACTTACTCCCTGCAAATCTCTCAACTACTTCAATAAAATCCCTTCCAGTAGTCACATAATCTAATTTCGTCTCCAAGAATTCTTTATAATTATCATAGAAATATTTAGCCAATAATTTATAATTATGTAATTTGCTGGAAATTATATTATCACAATTTCTTAAAATGATTTCCAAAAAATCTAAACAAGTTGAATTAGCTAAATTATTTTCCATCACCACAGTTTCAAAAAATCGAATAAAATATCCCAATATGTCATGAACTAAAATATATCGACAATATAAATTATCATTTAGTCCAATAATATTCTTTATACATCGAATAACACTAAGTTTTAGGGTTAATTTGCAATCTGTATCCAATAATTTCGCAGCACCCAACAAAATATGATTCTCCAAGAAAAATGGCCTAGAGACTAAAGTCGTATGTTCTCGGGTACAAAATGAAATCAAATCACATAAATGTTGAAATAACAATTCATCACTATAAATCAAACTCTTGATTGATTCGTCTTCTAAATCATTACTTTGGGCAAGTATTATAAATTTATTAAATAATGTCGGGGCAACTTGGGAATAAAATGCCGTGAAATAATTCTTGGTGTTTATATCCTTAAACTCTCCGGATGTATCATTCATACTACCACCACCGTTATCATCTCCATTGCTATCGGTCGTACTTCCTCCATTGGATGCAATATTCGTATCTAGTAAGATCCGTAATGCTTCCACGGCTTGGAGTTTCAAACCGGGGTTTTTATCTTTTGCTAATAATTTAGCTAAGATTGAGATTAATGTCATATCATCCGATAATTTAAGCTTGACTTCTTTTTGTTGTCGAGCGGTTGTTGCGGTTGTGGTGCTATCCTCTTCTTTATTCAATTCTTCTAGCATGGTATTTAAAGTTGGTGGATCTGAATTATCTATCGTTTCTTCTCGATCTATTGAATGAACTAATGATACATCTTGTTCAATTATAATGACAATTAATTCTGTTCCTAGTACTCGTATTTTGTTATCACTATCATTTAAAGCGAAATTTATCATTTGAAACAACCCATTCTTGACTAATAATGAAAAGAATTCTAATTTTTGGAATGATTGAAGTGATTTAGCAATTAGGACATATTGATGTAACATTTTAACCCCATCTCTTTTTAATTCTAGATCAGTTTCATCATCGGTATAAATTTGAAACAATTTTTGTAAAATAGTATTATCTTTTAAATAATTTATAATCTCCACTTGATTAAGATATATCAATGTAGATAATAAATTGAATGTTTGATCATCCAAAAATCTAGCCAATACAACATCTTTTAAAAAATTTAAATGAAAATCCTTTTTAAAAATTTCTAAATTAGCCACGGGCATTACTGATTTGAATGATTTAGTTTTTAGGAAATCTCGATGACATGATTTATGTTTAGGATATTCAGAATCATATTCTAAGATTCCGGAAAGTGCTAATACTTTTTCATCCGTGTCTAAAAAATCTTCAACTAGCGTTGTCTCATTATACAAAAACAATGACTTGATGATTTCACTCAAGGTATATAAATTCTTCAATTTCTTCATCTTCTCGGCTCTATTGAATCCATCAACCAATTTCAAGAAATATTTGTTGTCTATTATATATTGCAGTATTTTCGTTCTCGTAAATTGAGAACTTGAACCTTGATTTATCACTTCCAACACCGATTCTAAATTATCATCAGTAGGATCTTGTGGATATACTACGGGTCCAGTTATCAATTCAGTTATATCATCACCTTCAGAAACATGCGGTATCACGTAATATAACGATATCCCCGGGCTCAAACTTTCTTGTTGAACTTTTATAATAAAATCACATAAATCAGCACATCCTTCATTTTCTTGAAACGATAATGCAAGATCTTTTCCAGAAGTATCCGTCCATACAATTAATGTTTCTTGCTGTCGTTGATATTGAATAGAACCTTCAAGGAATGATTTTAGTATTATATCATTGGAATTTAATTCATTTCGAACTAGGAAATAAGGTAGTTTTGATTCTGGATCTATTTCCCCTACACAATATCCTGTACCATTATCTATCCAATCTTCTCCATTTAATAAATATACTTTAACTCTTCTAGGTGTCTGACCCGAACTCAGTTTATTTTCATTTTTGGATGATGTGTTGCCATTTTGGTTTTTATTGATTCCTCCACTTATTGGTTCCATTTTCACGCGTCTTTTTCTATGGAGATGGAATTAGGAATATATACTCTTGTCGTATTATACCGTTGGAAGACGTGATTTGGGATTGCAGTGACTTGTGAAAACTGGTTTATGCTTTTGATTGGTGCGTTGTAAGAATTAACTTTTCAATCTTCTCTTATTATTATGATTTCTATTTGGATTGACAAAAGATTGAAGGAAAGAAAGCACCAGATTCCTTCTTATTGTATTGGAACTTGTTTATTTATTTGATGCTATATTTGATTAATGGGAGATGCAAAATTCTGTTTCCCTTTGTTTATAATCAAACAAATCTAAAACACATTTTTATTTTTTTTATTTTGGTTGCTTTTGTTCTTTTTTTTAGTCTGAACATTTTGTCACGTCTTTTTTTTTTTTATTTCTCGTTCTGGGTTTTCGTTCCATTGATTTTATTTCTTCGTTCCATTTGACTCAACGACTTATTGTTTTCTTCTTCGCTTGCTATAATCAGAACCCTTGGAACGACTTAATTACAAACATTCAGATGCAGAAATAACAAGTATAACAATTTACTATCCCAACGCCAGGTCCTTATACGTCGCAATATGTTTAATTTTATTCAATCAATTAAATTCCCAGTACTATTGCCACCACGGGCTGCGCGGTCGAATTTCTTTTCTTAATTTGACTCGCTACGGGCGCGCTGGAACTAAAAATAAGGCTGATTCGTTCCAGCCTGACGCGGGGCATTACTTCTTTTAAAACCTTTCAAGATCTATTAAATATTGTCTATATCTATATACAAGAACGACAGAGGGTCCTAATGACATATCAACGCAGCACTTGCTAAATTCCTCAACCAATCAACTTTATCTACATCATGAGTATCTTCAACTTCACCCCATTCTTCAGTTTGGAAAATAGTTTCCAAATTACCCAATTCCACAATTTCTTCAATTGTTTTATGATAATAATCATCCATACCCTTCTTATTAAATTGATATAATTCTTTCATAATTTCTGGATTGGAACTATTCGATCTTAATAATGAAACACCACATAAGAATGATTTCGTAGTTAAGATTGCTTTTTCCAATGCGATTAAATCAAACATTGGAAGATTATCCAACCAATCCAAAACCACTTCTTGAGTAGTAATAGTTTGTTTATTTCCTCTCAAACCATCAGTTTCACAATCCAAATAAGTTAATTCAATCTTTTCATCCTCACTAGCCAATAACCCACCTTTATTTCTCGCATAAGTAGTAAAGAAATCATTATATTCCTCAATCAAAGGTCTATATAATTCCTCTTGTCTCTTTCTCAATTTCCCACTATATTCTTTATAAGTTCCAAAAATAAGACAAGTATCAGTATCCAAATATCTCAACATATTCACCTTAATATCATCGGCATTTCCGACCTTCGCAATCATTTCTTCCTTCTTCGACCCGGTTTCCATACCCATTTCGCTAATATGTTCCAAATCTATCGCTCTAGAAGCTAATGAAGTCAAGGGTAATGAATTAGTCTTGATTTTCAAATCGGGTAAATTACTCCATTCATGATTTATCAAATATGCTAATTGTTTCTTGGTTTCTGGAATTGAAAGTGAATATCCCAAAGGAGTTCTTAAATTTTTCCCATCTAATTTAATATCATATTTATGAGTGGTTGGATTATGTACTGTGTCTACTTTTTCCCAGAATTTGGTTAAGGTTTTCGATAATTTATTAGTTTCGGTGGGGATATTGTGTTCGATAGTTTTATCACCTAATGGGATGTTTAATCTCCCTGCCGTAGCGAAGGAAATGGTTGATTTGGAAAGGAGTCTGGTGGTGATGGTTGGGACAGCGGTGAATCTTAATGATCCTAATGCAGGGATTCTTCTTGAAGTTATTCTAAGCATGTTTCCTGGCAGCTGTTCGTTGGTGAATGATCTGGATGCTGCCAAAGAATGAATGAAAAAAAATTTCTCTAGGGCGAACAAAATGTTGATCTCTCGGTCGGGAATGGGCATTTTAGTGCGAATATGATTGAAATATTTCACTTGCTACCAGTACTACTGAATTGCCAAATTACACATATAAACATACACCCACCCACCCATATCATAATGAATCAAGAAGCATTACAAAAAGTCCTTATTGAAATGGACAACCAACTAAATAAATCCCGTGCCGAATTATCAATGGTTAATGTCCAATTAGATCGAGTTCATACCAATTTAACCGTAATTGAATCTACTAAATCACGATTAAATAAACTATGTGAACCTACAGAGACTGTTTGGCAAGGGGTTGGAAAGGCATTTGTTGCTGATACTACAAAATCTTATTTAGAAGATTTACAAAAAGATTCAAAACAATTTAAAGAAACTGAACTGAGTTTAAATATAAAGAAAAATTATTTAACAACTACACTTAATAATACAATTGAAAATATGCAAACTATAGTTGGTAAGAAATAAGTAGTGTACCAGGGTTAATATATATAGACAGATATACCATACAATTCTCTATTAAAAATAATACACAGCAAGCTAAGCTAATCACTTTCATTCTCATCAACACCTTCATCTAAAATTCTTCTTTCAACATCGTCTTCAATTTGTTGTCCCTTAATTTTATCTTTCTCCAATTGCATTCGTTCAGTAAGAAATACATTTATTTGATCTTGAAGAGTAGTTAACTGAGCACGTAAATGGCCCAATGCAGTATCTTTATGTTTACTTGGTTTATCTCTATCTTCACCACCTGCTTTTATAACAATATCTGAAATCTGCGTTGTTTTACCATATGTAGTATGTGGTCCATCTCCGGGATGGAATAATTGTTGTGATATATCCGGAGCAGTGTATTCTGCTGTGGGTATTAATGAGGATGTCATTATTGTCTTTCTTTTCTTATTACTCTGTTGTTCTATAAGGTCCATCCCATCCTGTGTTAGTCCCAAGTAATCAATTCTTCATCGCGTAGAGGTAATGCGAGTCGCGACTCAGTTGGAAGCAGCAGAAAAAATAGGGTGAAAGTTGCAAAATTGCAAATATGGAAATCTATGGGACTAACATTGCTAACTAATGTTTATAACATTTATTACACATATCTACATACAAATTATATATATATAACAAGAAGAACGATCAATTGTCATCATATTCTTTTATTTTAATTCTTTCAGCAGAATTTGAATATGCATTAAATTTAATTTCAATAATTTCATCAGTTTTAAAATCTAAATCAGGAATATCATAACATGAACAAGACATTAAATATCCATAAAATACTTTTAATACAGTATCATCAGCAATAATTAAAATATCTCCACTCATTCTTTCCATTTCCAATATCAAAGGTTCAATCTTTATAGCTAAATCATGATATGATTCTGCACGAGGGAATCTATAATGATATGGATCCATATCATATTGGGCATATTCGTCGGGGAATTTTTGTTTAATTTCTTCATCTGATAAATTCCCAACAATACCTGGATTCTTTTGAGATAATTGAATTCTATGTCTAATTTTAATATTCTTTTCGCGGAAATATTTGGTAGTTTGAATTGTTCTCTTTTTAACTGATGTCCAAACGACTAATGAATCATCATCAACACCATCTACGCCTGCGGCTGGTTGTCTTTCATCAACTGATAATTCACGTTTTAATTCAGTGGATTTTAAATTCTCTTCAATATAATTCTTACCTTGAGATTTCAAATGATCAATTAAAGTTCTGGTTAAATTTCTGGCATATTTAATTCCATCTTCATCTAATGGAGGATCATAAGAATAATCTAATGAATTTTTATAACATCTGGCAAAAAATACTGACCCCAGTTTAATTCTTGAATTCATTAAATAAAATACAACTTTATTAATTAAATATCCATAATTTGAATTATGTAATTCAATTCTCTCACCAAAATTAACAAATTTAATATATGATAATTGTTCTTCTTCATCTTGAGATCCCATTGGGATATAATATGGAGCTAAAACATTTATTCTTTCACTATAATCCTTATAAGCTTTTTCATAATCCCAATTAACATAATCTGGAGATAATCTTGCAGCTTCTTCAATATTTTTTATAAGCATAGAATCATCAGTTATTAAACTTTCAATAAATAAAACTTGAATATTTAATTCAGTAAATTTTTCATGTAATTCAAGTCTAAATTCAGGTATAGCATTAACAGCATCATAAATTGCCACTTGCCCTTTATCAGCCTTAAAGAAATTTAAAATATCATTAAGACATTCATTAACAGCTTTTTCTCTAATGGCATGAGCTTTTTCACTTTTTGGCGTTGGAACAAATAAATCATGAGTTATATCATCTTCAGCACTTGCTCTTCTATAATTCCCCAAATGGAAAGAATGAGTCTTTACACCCAACCACCTTAAATATCTCGTCAAACTAACCGATAAATGAGTCTTCCCTCTCCCAGGTAATCCAGCAAGTGCAATAATTATCTTACCAGCATGAAATAATCTACCAGATTCAGTTGAATATAATTGTGCTCCACCTAATTCATAAACTGGATCAATAGCTTTATGAACCCCATCAATACCAGTTATATCACTTAATCTTCTGGGTGGACCTCCTGTTGATGCATCAACTGGTAAATCATATAAATTTGGTCTGGCATTATTATTATGGAATGACCACCGTTTTGTTGTTCTCATTTGATTTCTTGATTTAATTGGGGAACTTCCAAATCCATTAAAGATTTCACATTCACCTTCATCATCTGAAATTGCTGAACTTGACATTTTTTGGGGTTTGGAAACTTGTATATTTATATATTATTATTATTGGGGGAATATAAATGTATTATGGGGTAAAAAAAAATTTTTGTTTAAGCGGGTCACTCACTTTTTTAATTGGAAGTTTAAATTTGTTGACTGCGGATAATTAATTTAAAAAAACATCAGTTTATTTTTTTTCTGCTCTGTCTCTCGTGCAATATTGGTGGTGGTGGTGCTCTTTTTTTTTTTATGGTTTAAATTTCTTGAGACCTCCGAATTGGTTGTAAGAAGATGACAATTGAATACTAAGAAAAGGTGGTGGGTAATTCATCAGCTCTATATCTTCCAAGGAATTGAAAATTTTGTTAGATCAAGAAGATGGCATTTGAAAGACAAAAGAGATTTATCGTCCTTGGTATTTGTTATAGGGTAATTCGTTAGTGTAGGGGAATGTTCGATTGTTCTGTCGCTATTCCAAAACCTTTGCAAGGTTACTAACTGCAAAAGTGCACTCAGGTATGAAATTTTTTCATTTCAGTTACATGGAAGACGTTTATTGAATATACTAAGTAACTTCTGTAATGAAGACGTACTTAGTGTCTTCTGTTATGAATATTTCCCATCATTGAAAAGAACTTTTTCATCCCTGATTCGTTTGTTAGTACTTTTAAATTCGATAATGCAATTCGTTCTTTGGCAATAGCTATGGCCAATTGAATCGATCTTGTATTGAGCATATTATCTTCAATGTGAAATGTTTCTATAGAGACACCAGCTCAACCCTCGATTCTCGAGAAAGTTCAATTCTAGAGAATAAGGAAAGTAACAACTCTCGTTAAGAGTGCTGTTGTTCTAAATATAGAGAAACAATAGTAAATGCAATTTTATTAGGTCCCTTAATCTCTCATTTCAGACCCAGTAGAGATAGCTCAAACTGATCACCTCTAATAAAATGCAAATGAATACACATCGTCCCTGCCATATTCTCTGCATATTCGATGTATATACAATCCCCCCCTCATTCATTGAATCTACAAAAGTAATCAATTTATATTTGACAATCAAACACCATTTTCTAAAATTACAGAAACCATTAAAATACATTCATATTAAATAAACACGTAGGGTAATATATAAACTCTTTATTAGAATATGAACTAAATTTATTCGGACTTACCACCCTTTCTTGCAATCAAAGCCTTTCTATCCTTGTCCAAGTGTAATTTGGTGATGACAACCTTAGATGGGTGAATGTTAATTGGAACAGAAGCACCGTTAGATTTTTCTCTTTGTAATTTTTCAACTTGAATAGCAAATTTTAATCTGTAGACAGAGTTAACCTTACCTTCAGAACCCTTCTTAGAACCTCTGACAACTAAAACTTCATCATTTTGTCTGATTGGTAAAGACTTGACATTGTATTGTTCTCTTAATTCTTTGGATAAAGGAGCAGATAATAAAACTCTTCTTTCAACAGAGGAAGCGTTGAAGTAAGCCTTTCTGGCTTTGGAACGAGAAGAAGAAACGTCTAAAAAGGTTATGTTAGTACTGTGGTTCCTTTTATTATTGGGGATATCCGTGAGATATAATTCTAAATCATTCTTCCTTGAATATGAACAGTATGAACTATGCGGTTATGATAATCTTGCATCTCTAAATAGTTGAACTGAAAATTTCGATATTTGGTAAATGGTGGTCGGTCATTTCGACATTTCAAAATAAGTCCTTTGTAGTAGATATTCACAGATGTTGCATTTTATTACATTGCTTTCTAAACATCTTTAATCTTGTGTGGTAGCTAGCTAGTCATTTTTAAATTTGATGTATCTTCAATCTCTCTTATTCAATGTTCCACAAATCATGTCCATAATGCCCATTCATGAAATTATATTCTCTCATATCCACTCTTTCGTTATGGGTAGTATCATACCTTGACTAATCTTGGCCATCTTTACTATGTATTTCTAAGGTCTAGTTAGGATTCTCTCTCAATACCTTTCAAGAAAGAAAATTTTTGATTATACTGAAAAAATGAGTATACTAACGATGCGGTATGCTTGGAAAATCCTCTCTCACAGTGCGACTTACAATGTACAGTGTGCGAGAAAATTGAGACTAGAAAAAATCTCATTGTATGCAGTGCTAGGGCAACAACCCTAAAGCTGGGATGCACGTGACTAAGATCCACAGGTTAGTATCACAAAGCCCCATAACCTTTTCGGACTACAAGAGCTGTTGAAAGAATATGAAATACGAATAGAAAGGTTGTCAATAATATCGCTCTATTACAAAAATTCATTGTATATCGAAAGTAGCTTAGAGTATTATTCGAGTCACGGCAACTGATAAGGTTCTTGTTGCTGACTCGAGAAGTGCAAAAAGATGAACTTACAATCTCTACTTGCAGATAATAACTGGAAACAAAAAGAGCCAATCTGGTGAAGAATTTTCCTTTTTTTGTCCAAAAGTTGACGGTTGGCGTGTATGCATTCACAACGAAGGTTTCACTATCCATAAGAAGACACCTTTTCTTAGCTCTCTGCGAGAACAGTTTCCCAATTCGGTTTATCATTCGTCTAGATGATTCTTCCGACAGTAGTCAATCCCTCTCCACAACAAAGTAAAATCAAAACTTCCAGGCTCAAGGAGCTCTAAAAAAGTAAGGAATTAAAATTTTGCAACCACTGAATTTTTTTTTCTTTCAAAACACCTATTTGTTTCTCTATTTCTATTTCTCTATCTCTATTTTCTCTATAAATATAAAAAAGTCCTCTTTTTACTCAAGTTTTATTTTTTAACCAC